CAGGGCCTCTGCTCAACAGATAGAATTAGAAGCCCTTTGTTTAGCTTTGGATTTGTTTACTGAACCCTTAAATATCTTTACTGATAGTATTTATGTGGAAAATATAATAAAAAATTTAGAAACTGCTCCTTTTATCGATCCCCATTCTACTGTAGCCTTTGTTTTGAATAAAGCACAGAAGCTTTTATGGCAGAGGAATAATCCCATGTATGTTGGACATATACGAAGTCATACAGGCCTCCCAGGTCCCCTTAGTGAGGGGAATTCCTTGGCACATCAGCACACGATGCATGCTTGCTGCTGAAGACTCTTCCCTTTCTGCTGTATCTCATGCTCAGCAATTGCATGACAAATTTCATCTTAATGCCCAGAGCCTAAAGTTTCATACTGGCTCTACCAGAGAGCAGGCTCTGAGGACTAGTTCCTCGTGTCCAGCATGTGCCCCATTTATTCATGTTCCAAACTTGGGGGTTAATCCTCATGGTCTCATGCCCAATGACGTTTGGCAAATGGATGTTACCCATGTAAATAGTTTTGGTAAGTTATCCTTTGTTCATGTGTCGGTAGATACCTTTAGTGGCCTGATCTTTGCATTGGCTCATAGTGGAGAAAAGGCTAAGAATGTTAAGGGGCACTGTTTAGCGGCCTTTGCCTATGCGGGAGTTCCTAGAACTATTAAGACAGACAATGGCCCAGCATATATTAGTTCCTCAGTTCAGACATTTTTTAAAGATTATGAGGTTAGCCATAAAACTGGAATTCCATATAATCCCCAGGGACAAGCTATAGTAGAGCGCTGTCATAGCACTATAAAAAGTTACTTAGAAAAAATAAAAAGGAATGAATATGGCATCACACCACATAATAAATTATCTATTATACTTTATATTTTAAATTTTCTTTTGGTGGATGGTGATGGCAGATCTGCAGCCGAGCGCCATTGGAGACCAAATAAGGCTGTAAAGGAAGAAAGATTTCGGTGTGATTTAACATCTCGGGTTTGGAAGGGCCCTGATCCAGTGTTATTAAGGATTAGAGGATCGGTTTGTGTCTTTCCAAAAAAATGCAGATGGGCCTCTTTGGATTCCCGAGCGTTGTGTTCGCCCTGTGGATGAGCCCGGTAAAGGGAATGGAACAATGGAGCCTGGTCCAAAATCCACCAATATTGATAAGTGTGAGCCTTGATCCCACCGTGCCTGTCTTGATATGACCCCTTTCCTTTTGTTTTGTTTAATCAGACCAGTGAAGGGGGGCAGCTAAATTGTTCTGCTGAGTCTTGTTTTTTAGCAAGTTGTTGGAGTGGATTTATGGCAATACCAGTGGAGTCTGATGGGGCTGAAGTTATCATCTAGAAGCGACAGAAAAGAGATTTCGGAATTACTTCCAGGATCATTGCCACCATTGCCATTGCTGCAGGGACCGCCGTGGGTGCAGGGATTGCCTTATCCAGCAGCATACAAACTGCCCAGACATTGAATGAACTTTGGGGAGGGTACAGATACATTGCCTTCTCAGAGTGATATTCAGTCTCATTTTCATATTGCTGTTTTAGATTCAAATCAACAAATTGCTTTGGTTCAAGAACAAGTAGATTTTATGTTATCCACCAGACATGTTGTTAGCTATGATCCCTTCTTTCATGCCATCTGTGTTACACCCGTGCATGTAATTAATGCTTCCTCTTCTGTTAAGTATTTGAATCAGTTGATTTCTGGCTCTTGGAATGCTACTTATTATCTCACTCGGCAGCTCTTTAATAAGATTGTATTAGTTAATAATACCAGAGTTGATCCTATTGATGGGTCATCAATCTTGAGCATGTTTCTTCAAGTGGGAATGCTGGTGAAAGAGTGGGCTGGAGTTACTTCCTTGGCAGTTTTTAGCCTAATTTTGCTGATGGTTGTTTTTTGGGTGTCTGTACACAACAGGTACAATCTCTAGCTGTTGTGCGAGGATTGGTGCTTTTACATGGTCGAGGGGATCCCTCTGCCCAAGTGTGGCTGACCATGCTACAAAGAGCGTTATCATTCACCTAGGCCCGAGGGACTGCAAGGGAGTTTCCCTGAGAGACATGCCTGGCTGCATAGCGGTTGGTGTTGATACAGTTCCCCTCAGGAAAAAGACACCGGGATGGGTATGACCATACCCCTTCACTGTACAACAGCAGGGGGCTGGAGGTCATTACAATATCCCCAATATTCACTGAGGGTCTGGTCTCTGTCTCTGCTTGGCCTCTAATTAAAAGAAAAAGGGTGAATTGTGGGTCAACATCCTCTGCACCTGTGCTGTTATGCCCGATCCTCCATCTCTATGCATTTCTCTGAGAAGACTGCTCAAGGAGAAATCCAAACTTAGGTGATAGGCTGCCAAGTGTGTCTCCTTGTTCCTGTTTTGATCCTTGTTCCTGTTTTGATCCTTGCCCTTGTTTTTATTCCTGTTCCTGTTTGTGTTCCTTTTTTTGTGGGGAGTATAAAAGGGATCTACACAGTTGAAAATATAGCATTTGGTTCTTTACCAGATGACTCTTTGTCTTTCTTTCTCTCGCCCTCAGCCCTCTGCCGATCCAAGGAACTCAGTTAGCTATCCTGGCATAGCTGACAGCTGGGATTGTAGCTTTGGACCTGGATGCTAGAATACTGTGTGTGCTTACCAAGAGCTCTCACAACTAGGCTCCATCCCCTTCATACTCCTCACAGGCTTGTTAAGGAGAAGCTAAGCCCCTAACACAGATTATTGGACCTCTAAGCACTTTATGACCTTGCCTCCCATTCTTTTCCTTTTGTCAAATGTGAGGAATCTATAATGAATTAGTTCAAAGTGTTAATGGGCCTCTCTGTGCTCCCAGATCTTGTTAGGATGCCCCTGCCATATGCTCTTCCAGATCCAGCCTGAACCTCCCCTATTATCTCACATGCATATTATGTTGTAACAGGTTGATTAAATGTGCATTTCTTCAACCAGCTCTTTGAACACAGAGACCCCATCCTTATTGACAATGTTTGAATGACTAGTGCCTTCCAGACCCTGCTGTACAGAAGGTAATGGACACATGGGTTGAGCATAGTAAAAGAAACAATGCCAAAGCTGCCCCCCGCCCCCACCCCAAGCTAACTCTTAACAGCTGACAGGTCCTTTGAATTCATTTTGCTCTAAGACAGTTAGCAGCCCTTCACCCACCACTGAACAAAGCTTCCAGTGGCTGAGGTTGGCACAGCGTTTAATTTTGGCATGACATATGAGGCTCCTTAGGATCCCACTCCTGCCTGCTTTTCCAGCCTCAACTCCATTTCTTTATTCAAATGAACTCTATTCTGATCACACCAGATTGTCTGGGTTTCTTCAAGGTCACCATGATCTTCTACTCCTCAGTTCCTCTTGCACACGACTTTGCTCCCCTCTCTAACACCTTCTTCTAGTTTGTTATGATTCCAATCAAAGGTCACCTTCAAGTAGAGTAAAAAGAAAAAAAAAAGATTGGGGGGAGGTACAGGAAGAGAAAGGAGCCTCTCAACCCTAGAGTCTGCCTGAAGTTTCCTAGTAGCTCAGAGTTAAGAGTTTCAGCAGAATTAATATTTGCTGTAAAAGTTACCTACACCGTGTTCCTTCTATACAGAGATCCTTAGAAATGGGAATGTTAAAATGGTCCTGAAAGATACTTAAGGCTGAGCACATATGACTTTCACATGTGGCCTTTCTCCTTTCTCAGATGTAAACATGTAATTTTCAATCTTTTCAGCAATAAGAGTTATAATCTAAACTTTCCACCAATAACACATCCTTTTGACCTATGGTTTTACCTTGTCAGTTGTAATCTTAGCCAGTCCAACACAGTAATTATGGTGCTATTTCCTCAGCAACTTTTTGAGCTGTACCTTCAGGAGCCTCCAAATCATGTAGATGCCTCTAGCGAAGACTCTCAAGTGCCACTCTTTCTTGGGATGCCTGCAATCAAGAACGTAGTTACTCCTTTCCTATGTATTTCTCTTTCTAGTAATCTGTGTTTAAAAATCTATCAACTCAAGCTGGGCATGCTGGCACACGCCTGGCTCATTTCTTTAATAACAGCACTTGGAATTCCTATACAAGACTAGCCTCAGCTATGTATCCTTTCCACAGCCGTTCTCGATGACCATCCCAAATAAGAAAGTAAAATAAAAATAAACAGATAAACAGACAAAGCACACCTCTATTTCATACCAACTGGGGGTGAGGTGACATTCTTTAGCAAAGCCAGGAATCCTGGCTTTATGTGAGTAGTTTCCTAGAAGAAACTCTCAGCAGTGTGTAACTGTGCGTTTCTGATTCCAGCTCCACTGCCATGGACAATTTCTATTCCTGCTTTCCTTCTAACTCAGAACTGAGAGCAGATTTCCTGGGTATCACAGATACTGTGCATTCTTCTCCATCATTTTTGAATGTCAGTTTTTTTCTAAAATAAGCATTTCATGAAAAGTAAGGGGAAGAATGTTTCATCTGATCTGATACAATACATGACACAAATATAGGCATCTTTTGAATTCCTAATTTTTCTTTATACAGGTGTATTCTTCTACATAGGTAATGAAAACCAGAAGAGGCAAAAGGGGTTAAACACCAACAACTAAAGCCAAATTAATAAACATGCTCATTAATTCCCAGGAGGCACCAGAGCTAAACTCAACATTGATTGAAACATTGTTTCCACCCTCACCTGTTTCTGTTGGGTATTTTCTCCCATCTGTTTTCAGTTGCTCCTTAAGAACATTGCTTTTAGAACATAAAACTTCAAATAATAAACATTCCTAAAATATTCATCTCGGTCTGACAGAGTCTTGAATATTTGAGTTCATTCATCACTACAAACTATAGCTGTACTCCAAAACACTTAGGAGGTTCAAATGCTTTC